GTGTATGAGATAAACGCGTTTCTCACAGTGATCTGTTTTCTTTCCTCGCTTGGTAAGACAGAATTGCATTGGAATATATTATCAGAAAAAGTTGTGCGTGATTTTAAGAACAGGTAATGAAAACAACTGTGAGTTGTGACAGAAACATGATGTGTGTTACCATGGCACAGGGGGAAGGACTAGATGACTTTGAGGTGATTTTTTTTATCCTTTGAGTACAAAAAGGAGATGGTTACTGTGGTGCAGCATGATGTGTAAAATCCAGGGAGAGCACAGTACTGAGAATTCACTTCAGTACCTCTGCTCTTATAGTTCTACTGACAAGGAGGATCCAGAAGATATCAAAACATTATGCCTCTTTTCTCTGTTTACTTTTTTCTCTTTTCACCTGTATGAAGTATATGAGGGAGACTTTGCAGTGCTGTGCCTGTTGAAAAGAAGCTAGAACTCCCTGTTAGAGATAACAGCATGAAAAAATGACTGTGGGCATGGCTATACCCACACTGGCTCTGCAGGAGCAAATCCTAGAACAGGGAGTGCAAGCAGATGTGGTGTGAGGATGCCTGGATTAGCTTTGAAAACAATTTTGTCATATTTGTGTGGTGTTGCATCCAAGCCACTGGGGTTTTACTGCTTCCAGACCTGTGCGAATCTGATTCTGTGCCACACAGGCTTAATCAGCTTGTGCTAGTGAAAATTTGGAAACCTGTTTCATGTAATCTGCTGTATGTTGTTAACAACCCTCTATTGTGCTGCCCTTGTAGCCTGTGTTTATTTGAATACACTAATTCTTTTTCTTTAATTATTTGCCCAGTAACAGTCCAAAACAGAAGGGGTTCTTCACTGCATATTTCTTGTCCAAATGATAGGGATAACAACAGTGACATTAAACAAAGGTTTTAATTTCAGCTGCATGTTATTGGGCAAAACTGTGGATAGGAGAAGGAAAACAAAGATTTGAGGAAGTCCTGCAGCGTCAACTGATCTTTAAATCAAAAGCAAATAGGCACATTTTTGTGTAAAATTAGCAGTTTAGAAGATTTCTGGTTTGTTACTCACAGAGGGAGGTTTTCCAGGAGGTATCACCTCTACGATGTGTTTGTTATCTTAATTCATGCATGTATGAAACCGGAACATACTTCCCTCTTAATATTTTGAAGTCCATCTGCTGTTTTGAATGGTATCTGTTGGTTCTGGGAGTATTTTTATTGATTCATATATCTGTGGACTATGGTTTCTAGGATTATTTTCTTAGGCTTTCACATGAAGCGGAAAGATAAGGAAAGCAATTTGAATTTCCCAAACCACAAAGCTATGCATCTTTCATATTATCCAGCTTGGGTAGTGGTGTAGGTTAAGATGCATGGGATGCGATACAGTCTCTAAGGACAACTTTCCTCTCAAACAAAATGCAGTATAACCCTGAGCTCAAAATTAATTGTGTTTAGAAAAAAAAACCAAAAAAAAACAGGGGGGAGACAGAGAACGTATAAATCCTTGAAAAGGATTTTGCCATTCTGAGAATGTCCTGGTAACCTGCCTGTTAAAACTAAGTTTGACAGTCTGCTCTGCTGTAGACTGAAGAAACATTGAAAACTGCTGTCTATTCTGATTTGATGTTCTCAGTATACAAAGTAGAGCATCCTAATTCATGAAGGGTACTACTAAGAATTGCTTATGTTCTAAAGCTTTTTAATATGCATGCCTCACCACTCTCATTTTAGGACAGAATTTCAGGCTATCCCAGCAATGTGAGCTGAGATACATATTTTTTCTTATATTCCTGTAATTAGGAATCATATGATTTGTATAAATACTGTGATCCAGAAAATATATAAAATTCATATAAATCATATGAGATAGAAAATATTAGATAAAATATAACATTTTTGTGTCTGGTTCAAAGTTTTTGAGCGGTTCTTCTACCATTTTATGTTTTTCTCACCTGTCTCAGTTTTCGGAAATGAGAAGGCAGAAACTTTTTAATCTCCTCTCTCTCTCTCTGTTCCCCCTCCTTACGATCCAGGATACAGAATGCAGATGTATATATTTTTTTTACCTGGTTGCCTGCTTTTAAAAAGCTGCATATTTGATGCAAAAGCAAAATATTTGCTCTTCCAAGAATGTTACATAAGGCAAGACTGTGCTTGGCAGTAATGGTTTGTCATTGCCTGCAAAGAGGTCCCAGTGTCAGTGCTCCCTGGAGATAAGGATGTATTATTTCCTATCTGGCAATACTAAACTGGTGATACTGTGTGATTAATATGACTCTCCTGGGCCACAACAACAGGAAGCTCTCCGTTCAATTATCATCACCATGCTTCTTTAATTTAATTACAGCTTTTAAAAATAATATTAAAAAGGATGATTCAAAATTGGAACTTGCTAAATTATTCAAATTTTTGTTCTTTCATATACTAGACTGAGACTTATTTTGCACTCTGACCTAAGGGGTTTCTGTGTGGGTTTGGTTTTATGTGAGCTTTTGTTGGTTTTTTTAAATATTATTTGGAAAGCTAAAGGTACTTAGGTTCTGGACATCTTCCGTAGCTTGGTGCTAAGGTTTCAGATTCAGATTTTTTACAGATGTTGGTAAAGGGAATTGTTCCATATTCAGAATGCCTTGTCTCTAAAACCTGCACATTAACTGCATATCATAGAGAAATTTTTGTAGACTACAAAAGAACTGTTTTAGCCTGTAAAAGAACAGACCTTTGTGATTTTCTTTACTGCCTCAGTAATAGTAACAAAGATTCATTGAGTCAGTCTTGCAGGAATTGGAAGCTGAAACACTGAATAAGTTCGGATAATATGGCACCACTGTGTAATTTTTTATTAAGCATATATTTGAAGACATGCACTAGCCGTGACAGAAATGGCATTGTCCCTCATGTGTCTGTTCTTCATTGGCTCTGGTTTCAATCTCTTGTACCAATTTTCAATTTCAGGCTTGTGGTTCTAGATAAAAGATGATGTTTAGGTGGAAGCATGCTGGAATCTTTAAAACAAGTATGCTGAGAGGTTTTGCCCTCCCTCAATGCCCTCTTAATTCTGTTTGCTTGAAGCCCCTCCACAGATGCTTATGGCATACTCCTTTCCCACATATGTTGGAATGAGTTATTTCTGTAGAGGCTGTGAGTTACCTTTAGGATTTCAGTTTGGGCTCTGGGTAGGGGAAATTTCTCTTTTAATTTTGTTTCCCCTGTTCTTCTTTTCTGTTCCCTCTGATGGATTATTTCATGTGTAGTGAAAGGAAATAAAAATACCAAGCTGATCAACTTGAAAACCTCAAACATGAGGATGTCATTTAGACTATACCTATTTTGCTATGTGTATGACAATAGTTCTTCAGCTATGCTGCAAATTAAAGAAGATAATCCAGGGGAAAAAGTAGTTGTTTAATCTAAAAGACAGTCTGGTCAAGAACATAATTATAGGCTCCACTTGGAAATTTACCCAGATAAATGATACAGCAAAACAAAAATAGGGAGAATGTGTTCAACAAATTAAACTTGGAACCTTATTTTTATGACCAGATGCGATGAATATATGAAGCAAACAGGAGACAAGTTAGTAGTAATTACAAATTATGGAGAAATCTCCTTCCTTTAGAGCCTTCACTTGTAATGATTTTGAGTAATAAGAAAATATATTAAAAATAGCGGGGTTAGCGAGGTAAAATTTTGTGAACAGTATTTTACTACAGGAAACATTTTAGAGATGATCTGGAGGATAGAGAGATTAACCCTGTTACCATTTCTCTTGGAAACTGGCTAATTTTTAGGACTACCTCTTTGTTGTAGTTGAGGGGGAAAATGATGCTAAAAGTCTCTTCATGAAATTTCTGGTTACATCTGTGGAGGAACCCGATATAATCATCCCTGAAATTCAGGAGCATGAAATGGCAAGGGGTCATCTAGTTTAGCATGTACTGAAACCGTGTTATATTTGCAATATAAAAACAGAGTCTTCCCATAAAGCCTTAATTTTTGGCTGTTTTGTTCATGCTCCTCTGATGGGAAAGCTATTTAAGAACCTGTTTTGAACTATGAGTTCTTGGTTAAAAATTATATTTATAAAAAATATTTTTGCCTTGATGTATATACTTTCTAAATTTTTGCAGGATTCCTTTCAGCATACTGAAAATTTTCAGAGATTTACCTCCCTGCTTATAAGACACAGAAAAATTACAGTCTCCTTATTTTGAATTAATTTGTGTAGTCTGGAGGAATTTCTGTCAGGCAGGTTAGCAGGATGTCTGTAAAATCAATTTTGAATGCTAAGCACTGTGTAAATGAATAGACACGCTTTTCATACTTGCATTTTTCTGTATGTGTGCAGCCTTGTTACATGTCAAATATAAATTTAATATGAATTACTTCAGTGTTGACAGAAAGGTGTGGGTTTCTCCTTCTCCCTTGCATGTGTTTAGCTTGTTTAACAAGATGCTGTTATGATGCATTTCTTGTCTGAAAAGTGAGTTCTGTAATCAGTTTTTTGGCAGTGTAGCCAGCTTTACTATTCAGTGTAATACCACTTTTTTCTGCTTCTGTGTTTTGGTTTTTTTTCCCCCAGTGGTTACTTTTTAGCCAGAAGAGTTTCTTAATTGCATCAGATTTATTCAGTGTGTTATGCATGATTGTTTTTGGGTTGCAGCATGGATGGAAATGTTTTTGACTTGCAGTAGTGAACAGAAGGCAGCAAGGAAGGCAAATATGGATTGCTTCTGCAGTGGTGTGGGCTCTTAGCTGATGGTGCCCTTGGTGTTTTCGAGGGCTTCTCACTAGGTATTGATGAAAGGCCTGGAAGCTCTGACCTTGTCTGTATGGACGTGTCTTGTGATGTGAAATATGCTGTGTTACTGCTACTCCTGTGTATTTGAGAGTTTATTATCTTGTTTTCTTTAAGATGGAGTTTTGGCAGTTTTTACACAGTTTTTTCTGTTAATAGAGAATGACATTTTTTACTTTTCTACTTTCTCTGCCTTTCTTTGTGTGTAGTGGAGAGCTGAATGCTGCTGAAAGCTGAAGAAACTTTAAGTCTAGATTCCTGACCAAATGGAAAAGCTGCCAGAGCCAATTTTTCCTTGCTGACCTGTTGACATGCTTTAATTGCAGGTAAGATAAGTGTGTGTCTGTGTGTGTGTAATCGGTAGCTCAGAACAGAAGTCTGTTTGCTGAGCCATGAGCTTGCTGTTTGGAGTGCTGGGTGTCACAATCAGTTTTTGTGGTACGGACACCCATCCTATGGAAAGTGAGCTTGAGACTTCAGTCTGATTTCAGATGCCTGATAGAGTCTCCAGTAGCACTCAGCTGCATTTAGGCACCTGGAGCATCCTGTCAGTGATTTCAACTCTTTGTTCACACCTGTACAGTGCAACTATTGTGCAATATTCCTGTGGCAATCACAGTAATTGCTTACATGTGAAATTAATATACAGCAATTATCAAAGGTGCTTTAGCTGTCTTTTAGTGCCCTGTAACTTCTGGAGAACAATAAATATATTGTGACCTACATACCCTGTAAGTCAGAGGTAGGTTACCTGTGGCACATTGATGAGAACCCAACAACCTGTACACTGGGATTTTCTTGAGTTGGCAAGCCTCCTCTTATTTTTGTTTGTTTGTTTGAGAATATCTCCACATTATTTGGCTTACAGGATATGAAATAATTGAAATGCTTGTCATCTGAAGAATGTACGTTTTCTTTTTTTCTCCTGACTCTAATGGGTACAATGTAAGATACAAAAAGACTTGAAGGAGGAAAGACTAGTATTCTCTAACTGAGCTTAAAAATTGAGCACAGAAACTTTAGAAAACCTTTTACAACAAAAGCTGAATAAAGGACAGAGGTCCTAGATGTTGGCTTGTCATTGGATCATCTTACTTTATCTTACTCCGCAGTGAAACTAGTTAGCTGACAGATGAAAATTTAGATAATTTGTCTTTCCCTCAGCCTCATCTACAAGCATGAATATCATTTGGTTCTTGATGCAACATTGTACATGTGCTGTGTTCTATTAGATAAGCTGTTTTACAATGTGAAAAGGGCTGAACACTTATGAGTCACCTCCCCAAGAGATGCTTATTCTCAGTTTGCAAGAGGGCCAGATGAAAGAGCATGAAAGGGGGGTGTGGTTTTCATAGACTTAATGTTTCATAGAAGAGTTGGCATCATCTGGGGAGGAGATGTGGGTGTTGATTGCAAGATTGTCATAAGGAAGCTGTGTTCAGAAAAGAAGCCCAAGCTAGCTAGGGAGGGAGCCTGATGTGTGGGTGTGAAATGAGACTGGGATTAGTACTGACAAGCTTGAAATCACAGGAAACCTGACTGTGTGTTTGGTTTCCCAAGTTGTGTTTGTTGTATCAGGTGGAGCATTTATACCAGTCAAACAGCATTAGAAAGGGGAAGAAATATGAAATGATACTTTATGATAACCACAAGTTCCTGGTTTTTGTATACCTAGGTTTTCTTTCAAATTGATTAGAAAAAATACAAATAGCTGGTGGATTATAATTTAGTATTAACTTTCTGATAAACTCTTGTGCCTTGTTTGTTATTTCTGAACCACCAAACACTTGCTTTATGAAAATGAACACCATCTCTCAGCAGCCTTTCATGTAGCATGTGTCTGGTTTTATCTTCCCCTGTAGTACTTCCACCTCTTTTTTGATGCAGTTTGTTGCAGTTCTTGGTGCTGATGGGAGACTGTTTTGTCAAGTGGGAAGGAAGGATCTTGTTCGTCTCATCCTAACCTGTGCTGCTCTGTAAGGATTAAGGAGACATCTGGTTTCTCTGTAATAGTTTATAAAAGGTCCCAGAGTATGATATCAAAGTATCTTCAGGAAACTGGGGGGTTGTAGATAGTCTGATGCTTGCCAAATACTCAGAGTGTTATTGTTTCCACTCTCGGAATAAACTCACAACTCTGACAGTGTTGCAAACCTGTTTTATTAAACCCAGATCATTAGAATGTTTTGAAGATCAAGCCTTGTCTAAAAGCTCATCTGGGAGGATGCTTGGAAGCACTACATATTCCCAAGACTAATGGTACCTTGCCCAAAATTTGAGTATAAGCTTTTACATGTGTTGACCTACAGCTAATCCATGATTCTGTGGCTGTGTGGAAGCTGCTTTGGTTGCCAGAATGGCTATTTGTCAATCAGTTGCTGTAGATAAGAGTTCTTCAGATGGTTTGTAGCATTAGAATATAATATCTTGCTCAGTAAAGACAAGTGTATTTCCTTCTCCAGAGAGAAAACTAAGTAACAATTGTTAATTTAAACTAGAGGCTGGTCTTACTCTATAACTTTATTTCTAGCAGTGTAAAGCTTTCAGTTGGCTGTTTCTTCTTTCCCTGACTTAAAATCTAGTTATGCTAATGGAAAGGCAATACAGTTGCTGATGGCAGGAAGTGACATGAGCCAGCACAATGATGTGGAATCTTTCTCTAGTTCTCATTTCTTCCTATTCTGTGTTTTTGTAACTCCTCAATTTTACTAGTATGTTTGGATTCCTGTTGCTTTAGCTTTAAATTGTTTTAAAGTATGCATTATTATTTCAAGTAATGAAAGAAACCCCTAATTCCTTAACACAGGAGATTTAGTAGCTAGTCTAAGATTGTTAAGTATCTGTGATTACCAACTCTAGTCCCAGCTGTATTAAATACTTAGTGGTTTTTATTGGAAAATACTAATGCGTCTGGAACAAATATGTTCCCATGTATTTTTGTTTTCAATTAAACTTTTCTAAGTAAGACTTATAGATTCAAGTTGGAATTTCAGAATGACAAAAGACACAAAGTGAAAAAATTCCATTAGTTTATATGGATTACCTGAGGATCATGCTTCCTTTCAGTTGTATTCTTCCTGAGTTGTGGTGTGGAGGTTGTTTGTTTCTTTGTAGTTTTTTATTCCTTTTTTTTTCCTCCTGGTGTCACTTCGTAGAGTTTTGAGTTTGTTCTCATTATAAAAATTGTGAAGACTCAGGCCTGTGGGAAAGAAAGCATCTTTTTCATCCAGCAACGAGTTTAATCTTAGGAGCAAGCCAGAAAAACTTGGCTACTGACAGAAGTGAATATTATAGAGGAAAATCCTGTTTTACTCATGTACGTAATTTTTAAACTGCCTTGAATTTCACAAAATGTTAATAGAAAATAGCTATTACATGACTTTACTCTTTCATAGGATACTTTGGTCCAGTTGCAGTCTACTTCACATGGCCTTCTTGAGGAATCAGTGATGTTCTATAAATAATTTAAATGGTTCTGATTTCTAATCTTTCATGACTATACACTAGCATACAAATTTGCTTTCCCTGTGTTGCTGAGAGAGAGGTCTGTAAAGGACACATCCACCAGGCAATGCACAGAAGATAAAGATGTATACATGGCTTTCATAATGCATGAAGTGTTTTTTCTTTCTCAGCTCAAGATAAACAAGGAAAAAGCTTGTGTATGTATCACACAATGTGAGTAGAGTTCCTGGGTATGTCATAAAGAATGTTTTGTCCAACCATCTTGATTTACTCGTCGTTGCTTGTGTCTTGAGTTTCATTAGGTGAGTGTGTAATTTGCCCTGAAGAAGTAAATACAGTGCAGGGAAGTTAGCAGTGTGTGATGGTGGATAGAGGCCACTGGTGTGAGGAAATGGGAAACTATGACTGGTTTTCTGATTGTAGTCCTACAACTGTTTTTCTTAGGTTTGGTCTCATGGAAGTAAACACGGTAAGTATGTGTTGTTCCAAAATTGGCTACACCTTAGTACTAAATCAGGGTAAATTGTCCTTGGTAGTATCCCTATAAAACGTAAGGGAGTATGTAACCATTCTGAATAAAGTAGATTCAGTTAATGTGAGGTTAGAATTTCATAGATTTTATGATAGACATAAAGAAACCACAAAAAGCAAACCAGGAAAAAGTGATCATGTTTTTCATAGTAAAACGGATTATTATCAACATAGTGGTTTTATATTTAATTTGGAGGAAAAGCCCACCATTGTGGTAACCGCTACCTTAGAAGGAAAAAGATTAATACAAAATAAGATTGTAGAACAAAATCTTGAAGGATCAAATTCTCAGTTGACACTGTTTTCCTGTGCATCATTTTTCTTTCAATCCCAATATTTTTTAAGACAAAAATGGTTTTCAGATAAAGCTAGTGGATTACTTAAATTGTTTTAAAGTATGCATTATTATTTCAAAATATAAACTTGGAATAAATGAAAGAGAGGAAGAGTAAGATATACTGTTACTATATAGGCCTGCAATAATGGATTGAATTGAAAGGCTAAATGTTGATTAGATTTTGATTTGGTTTTGCAATGCTAGAATCTGTTGGGTTGAACAGAAACATATCTTAGAAACCTCTCTGCAGCTGTTGTCAGACAAGCTGCTTGTTCATGAGCCAAGCACTGGAGGTGTTCAATGTATTTGTTGTATGTGGAGCAGTGGGGATCACCGAGGGTTTTGAGGTTAGGCTGTCCTCAGAGTAGGAATTGATGGGAGAGAAGGGGGCGGGAGAACATGTGCATAGTCCAAGCATGTGGCAGTGTCCCTGGTCATGCGCAGTCCATGGTCTTATTTAGTAGTCTTTCCATTCTATAAATTCAGTGGTTTTGTCTTTTTCTTTCAAAATTGTTTTAAACATCATCAGTGCTTTTGGTAACTCTTATGGCCTCTAACAAGGAGTTCCATATTTTGTCACAAATTATCACTTGTGCAGGAACAGAGATGGCAAGAAGAGCTGTCCAGTGGGAGGAGAATGCAGGGTTCAAGTTCTGGGTGTCTAAATCGTGTCTCATGTACTAATTTTAATTTTTTTAAGGACTCTGCGTATTGTATATTTCAGAGCTATGGAGGTATATTGTTTAACTTTCTGGATTCACAGGAAGTTTTTAAAACACTGGTTTGCTTCAAATAGAATTGAATTAATGAAAAACTAGTCTGTTACCTACTGCAAGTGTACTGTTGGGCTTTTCAAAGCAGTGTTTGTGGCCTTTGTTTCATATTAAGTTCAATGTTGTGAAATGCACGTTGAGTATTTCTGTTGTAAGTACTTTAAAACAAAAATTTGTACACTGTAACATTATTTAAAAAGAAATTTGGATGAACCTTTTT